TTAAGCCCCCCATGAAAGATGTATTATTGAGCTTTTTGTGAAGAGACCATCCTCACTTCGTCAAACACTTGCCCCGATAGTGAAAATGCATTAGCTTACGACCATCTCGCTTTTTCTTTTTGAACTAGGCATTCTTCGACTTGGACTTCGGGTTATGCTTATAGTAGCAAAGTCTGAAGGCTTTCTTCACCTTCTTCTTCTTCGTAGGAAAAAGCCTTCTTCTTCTTCATGGGGAAAAGTGAGCGACATTGCTTCAAGGACGAGGAATAGACACAACTAAGATAAATCTGGCTCTGATACCATGTGAAAAAACTGTACTTTTATATATTTAAAAAGAGTAGGTACCATATTTTGTATTTTATGTCGAAGAAACATCGCCGCTCACTTTTCCCTATGAAGAAGAAGGCGAAGAAGGCCTTTGAACTCTGCAACTCTAAGCATAACCCGAAGTTCAAGTCGAAGAATGCTTGGTTCAAAAAGAAGAAGCAAGATGGCCGTAAGCTGATCCATTTTCGCTATCGGGCAGGCGTTAGACGAAGTGAGGATGTTCTCATCAATCAAAGCATCATATTTTCATTTGCTTTCTGATTTCTAAGATAAATGACAATAATGGAAACTAAATCATAGATACCTAAACCATACCAAAACTTACCATGAAGTATAGATACTCTACCAATCCTTCCCATATATACTGATTGCAATATGTACTCTCTATATTGTCCCGATACACAATATACACTTTCCTCTCACACCTACCACGGGTAGATGACCCATTCCTCACTAAGGTACCTAAAAAAATAAAAGAAAAGAAAAAGATCCCGCGATAGAGGTAAAATGCTCCTACTTTTTTCGAGCACCTTTAAATTACTAACAAAATCTTCTCTCACAAGAAAGAATACGATATCGTGCATATTCAGTCGTCGTTCTTATAATGAAGGTTCCGTTATTATTATTTCTTATGATGAATGTTTTGTTCTTCTTTTTGAGTAAATCAGCTTAATAAATTTGTTGTATGATTTGAATCCATATAATCACATTTAGAGTGGAAACACTAGGGTAAATTTCTTGAAACCACGTGTCTACTATGATGGAGAACTATATAAATTTTCGGCTACTAATATTGAAAATAAGAAAATTATCGAAATGCCCCTAACCTATCAATTACTTAATATTTTACCCATTTTAAACTTATTATTCCAACTCAGAATGTTATGAATTTTGATGGCCCTTATGGAATCAAATAAAAAAATTGATAAAATGTTGAACAGTTCATCTCTTATGCGTATTTATTTCACTTTGAGAAAGTCATTTGTTCATGGCAAACAACGTGTAAATTACGATCATGTTCAAATTTCTTAACTTAAACATAATCAATCTGTGTTTTTTTTCTTGTGCAACCAAGCTGACATGCCCCAAAAAAATAAAAAAACGTTGACTCATTCAAAATACGATATTCGGAAAAATATAATCTATCCCTACAAATGAAAATAACAATCAAATAGTAATTAAATCTGATTACCTAAGAACTTGGACAAAAAAAATTTGTCTAGAGGAGAATGAATTTTTGACTTATAGTTAAACTTTTCATAATTCATAAGGTATCCTAATGTATTAGGAGTGATGACTAGTTTAGCTTGGACAGAGAATTTATTGACACAAAGGAATATGGGAGAGAGCGAATTGAATATGAAAACATGAGTTAAAACTTAAAAGAGTTGAGTGGAGTGTGAAATCCTTGAAATTTTGCCCATCATATTCACCAAATATATTATGAAGATTCAATACTAGCTCAATAATAGGTTCATGTACCCAAGACCTCGTAGCCAATTGGTTCAAAAAGCAATTTTCTATCAAGTTGCATACAAAACTCCTAGGCGCGGCAAGAGACGACCTAACGACTGGACGTGACCCGGGTCCGGGTATGGTGCAAAAATTGGACCCGGGGGGTCATGTTTGGGTCTAAAATTTGGACCTGAACGCTATTCGGGTCAGGTTTGGGTTCAAATCTTGGACCCAAACTTGGGTCCAGTCCGGGTCCATGTAGACCTGACCAGGATCCCAACCTGAATGGCATTAATATTTTTATAATATTTGATATATAATATTTAAATAAATATAACT